ATGTTTTAGGATTTGAATTGTTTGAATCCATGTTTGCTTTGATATCTATGCATGTTTGATGATTGAATCTAGTGTAGATTGCATGTTTCATGTTGCATAGAGTGCAGGAGTTCGAATTTTGGGTGTACAGAAGAATTCGGTTCAGTTTCGGGTCTGATCGGGGCTGAGAACGCGGGGAAACGTGATCTGATCACGGAGTCAACTGTGAAGATAATGATAACCTTGAAAGACCTTCGACGCATCCATCGTATATCGCCGTATTCGCCGTATGAAGCATACCATAAAACCTTTTTGCTTCTACGTTGGGTTCCTCCTCCATGTGGGGCGATGGAACAATGTTGGGAAATGCATCACTCACCATTTCCGTGTATGGATTCCTTATTTCTTCTCCAAATGTCATCTCCGACGTCGTATTATTGATTTCTTCATATCCAACCATATGTACATCTTGTGATGATGATGTATCATAGGTTTCTCCATGTGCAAGCCAAACAAAATAATTCGGCATGAAACCTTTACGATATAAGTGATTCCACACTTCACTCAAACTCCGCCATTTTTTATTCTGGCACTTTACACACGGACAAGGCAGCTTTTCGCTCTCCAAATACGACTGATTTGACGTGGCAAACGACATAAAATTTTGCAATCCTTCTTCATATTGCTTTGAGATTTGATTCGTAATAGAATCAATTCTTTCATACATCCATTGTCGAGAATAAAACGACATTTTTCTTTTGACACTTTCTATTTTTTTTTTCTCTTTGGTAAAGAGACTACATGCCGCGGCTGTTAAATAGATTCGAACGTGCGACGGAAATGCGACGGAAATGCGACGGACTCCAATATTGCGACGGACGCACAACAGAATGCGACGGAATTAGGTCAAAACGAATAAAACGTGTTTAACTACCTGCGACGCACCGAATCCGTCGCAGTCCCGACGGAAATGTCTGTCCCCATCCGTCGCTATGTTTGTGCGACGCAATATATCCGTCCCACTCCGTCGCATAATTTTCCGACGAAAGTTCGGTCGCAAATATCGGTCGCAGTCCGTCGCAATCCGTCTGACAAAATTACCGACGGAAATATTCGTCGGTTGTTGTCGAAATGTTTCGACAGATTGAGCGACGGGTTACGACGGATGCAAATCCGTCCCATTACCGTCGTTGTCCGTCGCAAATATCTAGCGCGACGGAATTTCCGTCGCATAGTCCGTCGGTATATACAGTTTTTCTTGTAGTGCTTGTTTACGGCAAACGCAATGTCCGGTCGTGTAAAATGTAGGTACTGCAAGCTGCCAACAACATTACGGTATTCCGACGGGTCGTCGAGAGGAGAACCAGCAGCCAATGTGAGGGCGTACAGAGCTTTATGTAGCTTACAAACATACGTAGGACGATCTTGATCAACAAAATCCGGTGGTTGAATCATGTATACATCATCATTAAGACGGCCTTGGAGGAATGCATTGTTGACGTCGAGTTGCCGGAGCGACCAACCACGTGTGACGGCAATGCTGAGGATGAGACGTACAGTGGCAGGTTTGACGACCGGACTGAACGTGTCGTGATAGTCAACTCCGGAACGTTGATGGAAGCCCTTGGCAACGAGTCGAGCCTTGCACCTGTCAAAAGAACCATCAGCATTACGTTTAGTCCTGAAGACCATTTACAGCCAACAATATTCAGAGAGCCATTCAAGGGAACAAGATCCCAAGTCCCGTTCTTCACAAGAGCGTCAAATTCCGCTGTCATGGCCTGTCTCCACTGAGGTGATTTGAGAGCTTGGGATACACACGTTGATTCGGTTTCGATGAGTGGTATGGTTGTCGAGGTATTGGCAAATTTGGTATTGGGTTTTGATATGTGATTCTTTGAGCGGGTGGTCATGGGATGATGGTTACGTGGTGGAGAAGATATAGGTACAACGGTTTCGGTGGTTGTGTTTTCAGGGAGAACCGGGGCGGAGAGTAACGGGTCATCGGCGGGGTTAGGCGGCTGTGTTTCGGGCTCGGGAATATGGGTTGGCTGTGGCGAAGGCTGGGAGCTCA